TAACACAATTATGCAAATTTTTAGAAGTGAAAGGGTCGCGGAGGAAGACGGCGATATTACATTTAGAATAAATTCTGGAATTTTCAAAAATGGTTGAAGAATTAATAAAATTTAGTTAATAATTATGTTAAAGTATACAAAATTTTATTAATTCCTCAACCATTTTTGATAATTCCAGAATTTATTCTAAATGTAATATCACCGTCTTCCTCCGCGACCCTTTCACTTCTAAAAATTTGCGTAATTGTGCTAAACTACTATAAAGTAGTGCAACATTTGATTGCTAATAACTCTGATCAACACTTTTAGTGAATGCTACAAATTTAAAATAGAGTTTGTATACTTTTAATGTAGTTATTAACTAAATTTTATTAAAATTTATTAGAAGACACTCCGACATTTCCCTTGTGAGTGTCAAGAACAAGCTCCAAGATCTCCTGGTTTGCTTGTTACACATAACCCATCATTGGTTATTGTCTAACGAATCTCTACCACGTGCCAAAGCCCAATATCCATCAACAGAAAATTGTCTTGTGTGCCTGGTGGTCTACAGCTGAAATTGTTCATTATGAGCTTTCCCTGGCAAGTGATCACTGTATGTGTCAAGATGCACTGCTCCAAAAACAGCCTGCACTTGTTAATCACAAATGCATTGGTTTCCTTTGGGTTTTTCTTTGATTTCTTCATTTCTAAACATCACTTTTTAGAATGGTATTGAGAAAAGGTTGTAGATTATTTGGTAACGTAAGCACTATCGTAAAGTATCTCCATTCACTTTTTACATACATTTTAATTTTAGCTTCAAAAATGTTGCACCTTTTTGATCACCCTCTTGCACTCGATTGGCAATAACAGTGGATTTTATACCATCAATACTTCCTCTAGTTTATCGTGAAGAAAAAAGAGGAAATGCCAATTCTTGTCTGTGAGACCTGGTTTGTCATTAACAAGAGCCATTTCTCTGTATAGTGAGTGTTAAGCTGAGTATAGAAGTACCAGTACACCCAAACATGTGGATGACAGAACCATCAGTTTTTCTTTTGTCCAGACATTCGGGTATACCTGGCTTCATCCACTGACGTTCCAAACCTGCGAGAGAAGCTAGCTGCATTGATAAGATTTGCTAATAGAAAGCTCCAAAACAAAATTTGGTTCTTAATTAATATGTCCACTGTTGGGTATACATTCTTGTTCATAGATTGAAATAATTGATACTACAAAGCTTTTTGACTTCGGAGAAAAATTTGACGTGATGACGGAAAGGAAATTAATGTTGCAAAATCTTCTGGACCTCGTACAATATTAATATTGAATCTCAAGTGCATATTTGTATTGTGGCTTGCTAAAAAAAAGGACCTCTTAGTACCCATGGGGCCAAAAGAAAAAGAGTAGTTGCCGACTACGAAGTGGAACAATGTCGGTTAAAAACTTTCATTACTACGTGCAAAGTTACTGACTGACATACTTGAAAAAGAAATCTCTCTCCATGAATAATAATTCGAAGAAACATTTTAGTTTGATCGGGATGTTTATTTTCATAAATTCGTAATTAACATTCTAAATAAGTTTTCAAAACTCAAACCATTTTATATTTACATGTTTCTGGTTAGGACGAACATTTGAAATCACAAGTTCGACAGTGATAAAAATATAAACATAGATTTGTTCCTTGATTAGATTTTCATTTTGACTGCCTGTTTTTACAGCCTATTTAAACTATTATAAGTATTTGAATTTACAATATTTTTTCTGCCGACAACTTATAACGAACTTTCATAAATTAGTCTAAAGTAAATAGAAATTTCTATTTTAATATATTGTCTTGTAGAAAAAGAATTAGGTATTAATATGGTACGAGCACCTACAATACATAAATTTATTAAAACATTGTAAAATATAAAATTGCATTTAATTTTCTTAAACTAGATTATCAAGAGAATAAAATAAGCTTAAAAATAATCAGCTAGATTATGTATACTGTTTATACAAATCTAAACAATGTTTTATATCACGTTAATGACTTTTCTGCGGCCTTTGTGCGTCTGGCACACCTTGGACAATGCCCCATTCTTTTATAGAAACATTCTCTATAAAAAAAATAAGTTAAAATTTAATTGTTTAGTTTAATTGTTATAAAAGTTTGTAAAAGACTAACTTGTGAAAGACTGCAGAACATTTTGGACACGACGTTGAATGTGATTCGAATGGGAATACAATATTATCGGATTTACAGAGCTCGCAGATGAATCCTTTTCCTCGACAACCCTAAATACGAGGTTTTTATTTTAAATGTTTAGTTGTGAAGTAAATTAAAAATGCAAGAAATTTATTTACCTGGCATTCTTTTGTTATGTGTTGAATAAATCTGTCTTGGATTTTATGTAGGTATTTAAGAAGATATCCAGATTTGATATCGATTAAATCTTGCATAGAATACATGTCAGGACCCTCTACAAAGTGCTGTCGATCCTGCAGGATTAGAAGTAACCTACTTTCCTGAGCGGCATGACACGTTAGGAAGTACTGTTTCATCATTAAGATTTCTTCACGTAATTTCTGAGTATATAAAAAATTTTTTAAATCTTGTCCAGTCTAAAGTCAAAAGTAAGGGTTGAGTTATCAACTCCGTAATGTAAGCGTATCTGTATAGCATGGTTATAAACTCCCTTATTGTATCCGTATGGTCGTACTGTATTCCATAAGAAAAGTTTGGATCGATCAAATTTTTACAGTAGGGACATGGAGAATTGACCAACTGTGCATGCGCTAAGTCGCCATCAGTCGCTATACAATCGGAAGTTGTACCAGAAGTAACCCAAGAAACTGACAAATTGGTTGAAATGTAACTTTTGACCAACAATGCTGCTTCTGAATAATATAAAATTTTAAGATAAGAGTTACTTTGGTCATAAAAAAATAGAAAAATGATAAAATGAATAAACAATTATAGTATTAGATCTGGCAACATCAGCCAATGATTTTGTGCATGCTCATGATGTAAACCTAAAAAGTTTGTTCCTTTACAGATAGGGAAAAGGCCTTATGGTAGTTTATAACTATTCCTATACATATCCAGGGTAGCAAACATTTACAAATATGGATATGGTTGTGTTACGGAGTTTATAACTTGACCTAAAAATTCTTTACTCACCTTTACCATACATAGTTCTGTTACAAATGGAAAAAGCATGGAATTAAGTGCTTCAACATTTAAGACTGGCTTTGTTACCATTAATTTTAAAAACTGTAATGAAGCCCTGCAAACCTGTAAATATGATTTGGAAATTATATAGTTACTATTTTAAGTATTATAACAGAGCAGCCTGCATATCAAAACAAAGACAAGACATTACAGTAGCTAAAGTTTTGCTGTAAACACGTGAAGTACATGCATGGTAATTTATCATTTTACATAATTATGTACAAAATAAATAATGCAACGTCAAACTGGATGACATTAATATAAAAACCTTTATATCAAATTAAATACTGGATTCTAAATGAATGTTTTTGGCTAGCTTAATTAGCTGTCATTTGTTTCAAACCACGACTGCTGCTGTTCTTTAGTAGAACAGCAGTGTTTTTGCACAAAAAATTGCAAAATATTGCGGCCAAGGTAAATTTAAAGTTTGGTTTATTTTTTAAAATGACTTGTGCAGAAAAGGAGGTAAAATCTTACCTTTCTAGGTTCAAAATCCCAGTTATGAATAACCCTCGCTGGTATGACTATTCTACTATTCCAATGACAATAACTGCAGTAAAATAAACCATTGTAGTCACATTTCCTGGGTAGCATAGAACCTTCTTCTAGAAATTAAATTAACGGCATTCATTATAGCAACAATAAAATAATTTTTACTTCAAAATCGAAAAGAACAATTTGATAATTGGTACAGGACATACTTGTAATTATTTTACGCCTACATTCCGCACATCGATAGTTTTGTGCCGACAATCCTACTTCTGGACATATGTCTAATATATAAATGGGTTTCTCCAAAACCTATGTTGGTTCATGGAATAAATATTAATATTTACAAAAAAAAAAACAACAACAAACATTAAGTTAAAAGTGAATTCTTACTTTTGTTTTGGCACAAACTCTAATTATAGTATTAAGGCACTTGGTATGGCATTTGAATCCGCATTCTGAAATTTAAAAAATATATTAATATATAAAGTATTTATTATTATTATTATTATTTTTATGAGATAATTTTAATTTTTTGATTTATATATTAAAAGAATTTGATACAAAATTGCTGAGGCAGTTAAGGCATTGACCTGTCATTTGTTACTTCATTTATAAACTAGCTGTTGTTGTTGAAGATTGCTATCTTCATTACTGTTTATTTAAATTCAAGTAATCCCTTGTTTGATGCAGGATCTGATTAACTCACAAAAGTAATTGCAGCAATCTCTTTTTATACACGGCAAAAGTTTTAATTAATGTGGCTTTAACAGCCATCTTTACATAATGTAGATATGTTTTTCTCGGAAAATAAGGTATTAGAGAATTTGTTATTTTCATTTATTAAAATAAAAATATTCGTTGTTAACCAAAAATTTGTTCTAGCAGGTGGCGCTTGTTCGGTTAAGTACCAAGGTACATCTGTATTTGATTGATGTGATTTTGATATATGTGGTAGGATAGGGATTAATTAACTGCATTAATCGAGGGATATCTGTATTGTAGAACTCTGTACCATACCTATGAATCTTATCCAAGCAGTGTTTGAAAGTAACTGTATTATCCCATTAACTAGTCCAACACATTCAAAAAGTTAATAAAATTATTATAATTACTATTGTTTATTCTGTTTAAAAAATCATCATCTCGTAATTTCATTTAAAATTTTAAAGTTTATTTTATGACAATATATCTGTTTGTTTCAATGTAATCCATACAATTTACTTTTTATAGATTAGTATTTTTTTTTTTTTTTGTTTAACTCTTTCTGCTGTGGGTACTAAGAGGGCTTTATTTCCAGGCCCACAATTGGAGTGGCCGAATGACGAAGGATGGGATCCAAAATTTCTGGTGACGGGCCAATGCCTTACTTGCTTTGGCCGTCCGACCTTCATAAATTTGGTATCATAAACTATTTTTTTATTTCCAATTTTAAAAAACGACTTTACCTTTACAACAATACCAACTGTACAATGGACAAAGTATAGGCTGACAGCACTTTTCACAATATTGTTGAGGTCTCTCTAATTGTTTTACTTCAAACTGATGACCTAGTACAACTTTATCATTGGAAATTTCTTCATTAGGTCTATCCTAGAGTAATAAAAAAAAACTTCTGTGATAATATGTATTCAGTAGTATTTTTAAAAATTATATTTACAGATTTGTGATGTAATTAAAGTTATATACATATAAAATTTTAATTCAGAAATCATTATTAGATTTTAATCACTTGACTTCTGGAAATTATTAGCTTTTAAACAGCAAATAAAAATAAATAAAGAAATGTTGCTTGTTTTGGAAATCCGACATTTATTAAGCTAAAGAAACATATTTGATCAAGATCCGACCATTTTGGCTTAAAATCTTGCATTTACCGGCTTAGAATATGCAGCTTTATCAATTATACAGCTTAGGTGCTTCCCGAAACAAGCAGCAATTTCCTTATTTATTTACAAAGGCAGAGTTTTGTAACTTAAATTATGAAATGCCCATTGTGGGTTCAACCAGGCCCAAAATACTGCCCTATATATCTGGACCACATCCCAAAAAATTCCAGAGGTTTTTCAGCCACCCGAATTTGATTCCGAGTCCCCCACAGAGGTCAGCCAATGTTATAAGTGCCTTGGCCATCTGGCTGGCAAATGAAGTTATGAAAGATGTTTTTAAAAGTGCATACAGAGAAATAAATGATGAATGGAAAATTTATAACTCGGTTATTACAAAATGAGTGAGAATTCTAAAAATTATTTGTTAAAAATAATCTCATTGTTTATTATTACGGTCAGGATATCTAGGCACTAAAAATCATGTAAGTTATAACTAACTTTTATAGCTATATTATTTTTAGTGCCTAGATGTCATGTCCTAGCTTTACTTCTTACACATCCACGAACTCCAAATTAAAAAAATCCAGCAACGAGCTGCTTAACTTTCCTGGCAACATTTAAAACTGCATGTGTGGTGTCATCTGTTATGATATTTTATCATTAAAATATTTTTATGTTTTTAATTATTATAAATAACGACAAGCTTAATTTTGAGGATTTATAAAAAATTGTAAATACTAATAATGAGTAAAATCATCATTAAGTCCGACCCTACTCGAGATACAACACACGACCCCATCTATCCCACCACCCCCGCAACCTTTAACAACTGAAATTTAATAGCATCAATCCCCTAATACACAAATCTTCCCAAAAAAATTTCAGAAATTTTTGATAAAAAGAGTTATTAATAAAGCTTCAAAGATGGCGAACAAATTCGTGCTCTTCTGCAAACAAAAAAGCCCCGATTTTTTTGCACTTCTCAACGTTTTGAGGAACCGAGTCTAAAAATGTAAAGAACTTAGGGGGTCATTTTTGGACCAATCACTATACTTTCCCTCTGTTATATATAAGAGAGCCAGAAAAGTAAAAAAAAAAAAAAATAAGATGTTTGTGTTAAAAAGCACATATTACCTATGCTAACGTTCAGTTCATTTCTATTATATTATTATTTTATTGGAATCTAGAGGCATCGCAATGTCTCAAACCAAGAACATCTGAAAATCATTTACAAGACAGTGACAGTATTAATATTATCTTACTCTAAAGATAATGCAGTTGTTTCTTTGTCAAACAATAACTCTGGTAAATATTAAATTATTTTGTGAAAATGAAAGATGATCCACTTTAAGGATTATCTTATTTTTTTAACCTTTTTCTGCCGTGTGGATACTAAGAGGGTGTTTTTAGCAAGGCCATTATGGGTTTGTCTGAGGCCAGAATGGTGGTAAAGGACAGGGTCTGACATATCTAGCCACACCGCTGAAAAATTCCCAGATTATCAACCCATCTGGATTTGATTCTGGGTCCCAAGAGCAGCAGGCTGCCACCTTACCACTTGGCCATCTGTCTATCTTACTTGTTAGTTTCATTTAAATTAAAGTCAGTGATTACAGGTCCTTTCAGTACATACAGAAATTGCAATGTTTTGAATTTTCTTGTTGAATAATGCATCAAATTCAAACATTTATGATTAATGAAAATATGAATATAATTTTTACATTAAATTTTTGAATTTTATCAAAAAAGTTCTTAACAGACTTTATCTCTTATTGATTTTGAATTATCTTAGGCTAATTTACAAATAAAAACGTTGGTCTCAAAGAAGATATATTCGACATAATTTTCTACACTTTTAATTTCATCTTTTCAGATTGATCTCGCCATTCTCAAAATAAAAAATAACAATAGTAATCAATTTTGAAATGTAATTATGATGAAGCCACATAAATAAATGAAATATTTTAAAAATTTCTAGATGGATAACTTAGGAATAGTATGTGATTAGTTCCATTAATAATAAATTTCTTTCATTTTATTTAATTCTTTACAGACTTAGCTTTCAATAGTTTATTTCACTTTTAAATTTTACTAGTCGCTATTGGTCTAAACTAAGTTTGTTTCATATGTCCAGCCCATATTACACCGCAAAACTTGTGCACTGCCTTGCACAAGTCACGATTACGATAAAACCTTGATTTAGCTGAAGCAATTTCCAGTCTAAATATCATTCGTGAAAATTAACATCTTTTAAAATGCTTTTTATACATAACTAAATGAGCAGGTTATTATTTTTTTTTTCAAATCCAAGAGTCACCACTCTTAACTTCGTGCCACAATGGAAGTGTCTTGATATATCATTGTCCGAAGACGAATAAATGGAAATTTTTTTTGTGTTTTTGTCAAATTTGAATTTTGTTTCTTTTTAAGAACATTGTTTAGTTAAACACAACTTAAGTGTATTTTGATTTAGATCATATACATGAGATAAGCAGGGGGTCAAGAGTGAATTCTAATGACCACTTAATCTGCACAAGATCTCTGAGATCCGATCTCTACGTCAAAGAATAGCTAAACTATGAGCGATAATAAAGATCTAGATCGTGAAATCAAGATCAACGTTAGGACTGACACCAGTTAGGATAATTACGCACATCCCAACTCGCAATTCATACTACTATTTCGATTAGGAGGGCTCGTTTGAGTGGGGAGACACGTAAGTGATAGGAGTCCGTGAGGAAACTAGAATCCAGTTCAGTCAACAAATTAACAAAAACTTCAATGAATAACAAAAAATACAACGAACTAACTGAATAACATCTAGCTATGATTAATCCTTAAATTAGGTCCCTAAAGGTTGAGAGAGAGTTTATAAAAGTACTGATTATAATACTTCCATATTATTCTTGACTTGTAACTTTCCTGTCCTTGGGCGGAAGTTCAATCTATAAAGTATGGCACTAAGTTAAAGACTAGAGGATACTGGATGATGTGTTGTGTACAGTTTGGCACTTATCCTGTATTTATACAATTTTTATCCTCCAATAGAGATTAAGGATTAAGATCATCTGACTGTGTGTCATGATGAGTCTTTTTGGTTTAGTCAGCCCTTTAGTCATGGAAGATAAAATCTCTCTCATGAACTGACTGTCAACACAAGAAACATTTGTTTCTTGTTCTCTCTAATTTTTAGCTTTGATAAAATTTTCAAATTATTATATTATTTAATTTTAAAAGATTTTCTATAATTTCTTGAATATTTTATCCCAAAATATTCAGAATCTCACATAACTTCCCATTTTGCAAAAATCACACTATCTAAAAACAACGTCTGATTTTTCTCTAAACAGAGATGAAAGTAATTTATATATATTGGAGGTTTTTCCTACTCTCACTTTCTCAAACACTACATCAATAAAATTTTACTATAAGTAAAATAACTTGGTTACAATTCAAAGTGTGATTAACATATTGGGTTTACATTGATAAAATTCCACATAAGGATTACATATTAAAATATACATATGCTAATGATTATAATCAAAATTATCTGACTTAACAAAACATATTATATACATGTACAGGCATTTGAATATATTTTCTCCTCAAAATCTACAAAGATCTATCAGCTCTAGATATAATTCATTGACAAATTCTTATATGTACTCCACTTAAAAATTGTACCCTTAATCTTTCATCCAATTCTTTGTTCTGTATTCGCTTAATGATGGCTACTTCCACAACATTTGCTCCTACATGGTCTATTTCTATTTCAGAAGCGAGAGACTGAAGTATAACTAAATATGTCTGGACATCTTTGCCTATCTACTGCACGCATGCATAAAATTTCTGAATGAATAAATAGTCTGAATGAATATGGGACCTTCTCAAATTGTTCTATACAAATTTTCTTAAAATTATCAAAATCTTCTACATCATTGATCCTTCTGTCCCCTCTAGCAAATTCTTTAGCAATGCCTTTCAATTTTAGTCTAGCTACAGCTAACATTTGGGCCTTCGTCCATCCAGCAAGCTTAACTACATCATTTAGGGAGTAGAAGAAATCATTTATTCTCTCATCAGAATTTCCTGAGAAGGATGGAAAGGAGGGGCACGAAACTGCCCATTTCACTTAAAGTGGCCCTAGGATTTTCCTCTGCCATTTTGTCTAATTACAATTTACTTATAATTAACTTATAGAGTATCCTCTATCAGAATATGCCTAAAGTGGCCAAAACCTATTTAAGAAGGACAATCTGTCTGAGCAAAAATCTATCTAAAACAGAAACCTATTTAGGAAGGACAAACCTATCTTTTTGACACCAGTGTGGTGATATCAAAAAACCTCACTCCTGACACCATTATGTGAAGAGTTGGAGGCATAGAGCAGCTTTATTTTTAGCTTTACATCACTTAATCAATACACAATCGTTTAGATTGGCTTGCAACATCAAAGGATGGTTTCCTTAGACTTTAAATAAAGAACAGAAGTTTGTTAAGAAACCCTTGGAAGTTGTTTTTCCTGATACCAGCCTAGATATAGCGTTAGGCACGCTTATGTCTGTTTTTAGAGGAATTTCGAGTGGGAGGGTCGCGAGTAAGTGGAGTGGATGTAGGCTCAGGCTTGAGTCATTAAAGAGACCATATTATAAACAATAACAATGAATTTTGGAGAGAGAGTTTATATACACAAGAAATTATACTACTTTGAACTTAAGTAATATTCGTAGTCATAGTCTTCTATAATGTGGATCGGGAGAATAAATCTTCAATCACTTTCTGTTGTCTATATGGCATCTTCAATATTATGGGAGCTGGTCCCTAGTTCTACATGGCAATCTTATTACGGAAATCGACACTTAGGTGGCCAGTTCAAATGGCAGGTTCTGCTTCAAACAAACTGTGCAAGTTATATGTAACACGTTCTCTATCATCAGAGAACTGTGCGAAAAGGCAGGAAATCTACCCCTTTCTATAAGGACGTCTGACTCATCTGCCCGTGACAGTGAGTAGCTCTAGTTGGTCCAGAAAGGAAGTTCATTTCTTCCCTTTCTCAGAAACAAAAAATGTACATCCTTTTTGTTAAAATAATTATTTCTCTAAATGTAATATTTTTATAATATTTTATAAAAATTAATCTAATTAACTATCTAAAATTAATTAAAACATATATTTCTTTTGTACAGTCTCTGAACTATTATGAGTACACAGGCAACAATACATATAGAAAACTTTTCTATGAGATTAAACTTCTCATGCATACTTTATTTTAATTACACAAATACATCTAAGCAAGTAAAAACAAATAAACTAACTAATTTGTCAATTTTTTTAATATTCACATTTGGAAAACCTACTTTATTATGCAACAGATTTTCGTCTAACAGATGCCCTTTCGGCCGAATTACTCTGTTAAATTGAAGTTTTACCATACTTACAAAACAAAATTAAACAAGTATATTAATTTGCATGGAACCAAAGTGATTAAACTGTAGAAAGTAATATGGAGTTTCGAACCAATTTAAACCATTTCGCTAATTAGTATCATAAATCAATTTTAAAATATTCTTGGTTAACCAAATTATGGACCACCCCTTATAACAAAACACAATTAAGAATCAATAAACTAATAAATTTTAAGAAAACCAACCTTATAATCCTCTAATTTTAATCTCAATTGCACTAATTTCATTACTAAATTTTTACGCCACTCTGAATTCTCCGTAGATTCTTTTATCATTTTCTCACATGTTTCTATTATTATTTCCAATTCTTCAACATTGGAAAAACCAAAATATCCCTATTTGTAGAAATATTCAAAAAGTTAAAAAAAATACAAGAATATTTTAGAATTTTGTTATTAAATTTTTCATAGGTAATCTTAAATGGATTACTTCAGGTCGAGAGAAATGGTCCTCAGATAAACCAAGTTCTTCATCAATACGCTTGTTTAATTCATCAGGACAGGAAGAATCTGCTTAAAACAGAAAAAAAAAACTTTAAATTTTTACTTAAATTAGGTCCCTAAAGGTTGAGAGAGAGTTTATAAAAGTACTGATTATAATACTTCCATATTATTCTTGACTTGTAACTTTCCTGTCCTTGGGCGGAAGTTCAATCTATAAAGTATGGCACTAAGTTAAAGACTAGAGGATACTGGATGATGTGTTGTGTACAGTTTGGCACTTATCCTGTATTTATACAATTTTTATCCTCCAATAGAGATTAAGGATTAAGATCATCTGACTGTGTGTCATGATGAGTCTTTTTGGTTTAGTCAGCCCTTTAGTCATGGAAGATAAAATCTCTCTCATGAACTGACTGTCAACACAAGAAACATTTGTTTCTTGTTCTCTCAAATTTTTAGCTTTGATAAAATTTTCAAATTNTTTGTGGCTCTTTCGACATAAACTCCAATTTCATCTCACCTCATTTCACCGCAGCCTTATAACTTATGAGTTTATGAGATAGAGCCGCCGAACAAATTTCAACTTGTTCTCCGTCCGCACATGACCACACTCGCGTTGATCAATATGAGTCGCATAAGAGTGGTAGCATTTGAAGCATATCTATATATATAAAGCACATAAGGAAGCTGGTATTAATTACCATGGTTCAGACCCAACTTGTGTTAATTTAAAATTTCAAGTAATTTCAAAAAGTTATAATGTTTCAATGAAATTATTTAAATTGTAAATGTATGTAATTTTTCCTATTAACTTTAGTTAAAATAATTTAATTTGTACTGAATTCAATTTTATTTCTATTAATCAATACATTGCATCAAGTTTATAATTGTATATGCTATCGTATGATGAAAACATGTGTTTAAATTAAAGCATTCTTTTAATCTAAAATATTTATGTTAACTTATCAGTTTAGTGTTGCATTGCATATTTACTTATATGTATGATTTAATTTGAATTTTCCAAACTATGTAATAATTATTATTAATTGGTTCATAAATTATGGTTTTATTTTGTGTGCAATAATTTTTGAAGAAATTTTGGATCCTGAAAATATTCTGCATGCCTTTTCATAAGTTGCACTGTACCACATTACTTTTTGCAGACGACTACACTTGATCTACCTTATTGTGAGCAAAAAATATCAAGGCAGCCAAGGAGGCAAATTTCCTGACTTTCCAGCTGCATAGGAACCCTTAATATATCACCTGTCTATTGACATTGGTTCAATGGTCAGTTTCTAGCATCGTTGGGTGAGACCACGGCTTCACACCTCTGTGCAAGGAATGACCAGATTAACAAGAGTTTAGTATAGCTCCTTGATATTGTATCAAGTGTTAGTCAATGTTTAATTGTTGCCTTTAGTGAAAAATATTTCGCTCACTTCTGTTTTCCACCTCTCTTCCCTCCAGTAAAATGCTAGCTATTATCAAGAGTGGTCGTCAAGCAAATCTTGCCTGAAAAGTACGAGGAGCGACTATTATTTTTCTTTCTGAGAGTAATTTTTCCTATGAGAGGTACAAATAGACTCTTTACGAGTAACAGATTTTTAAATTTCCTACAGGAGTCTTTGCATAATTGTTTACAATACATGTAATTATTGAAACTGAAATATCGATAAACTTAGAGGAGAGAACAGAGATAGTGGATAACACGTGACGTGAGAAAAATGATTTTTCAATTAAACTAATACAAAATTAATATTATAAATTCGTGTCTATAAATATTACAACCATATTTTTAAATAAGTATCTAACTCAGCTTTAAACATTTAATAAACCATTAATACAGCTTTCTTGCTGAGATATGTTTATTAATCAAAACACTGATGTTTTCTACCTAATACGATAGGCCATCTGCAGGTATAACCAAAATTCGAACATATTTTTAAAAAACTTAACATTTAAATGACAGAACATCCGAACACTTTTACATTTAAATTTAAACAAAAATATTAGATAAATTAACAGATAAATAATAAAAAAATAAAACAAAATATAAAAAATGAACTAAAACAATATGTTTGAATTTCGGTTACACCTGAAGATGGCCTATCATATTAGGTTGAATATGTTAGGTTTTGATTAATAAATATATCTCAGCAATAAAAGTGTATTGATGATTTATTAAATGTTTAAAGCTGAGTTGGATACTTATTTAGTAATGTGGTGGCACCGGCCAAGAATTATAAGCAGTATAGGAAATTGGCATTGAAGATTGTAAGGGCAAATTGTAAACTAGAATTTCTTAAGCAATGTATGCTTAACAAAGTCTATCCAATGTCCATTTATAGAATTGGTATTCCAAAGGAGTGTGCTTCATTGAAAGAAAAAATTAAAAAGGATTGTCTACGAAAGTCCATCAGATTGACAAAGAATAAGAAGTATGGATTGTTACGAGAACTCATTACATTAGAAAATGAAATACAGTGGGTGATTGGTTAATGAACATAATCTGTTCCAAGACTTTGTTCACTATCCAAATTGTTTGTTAACCAATTATCGATTTACCATAGGTTCTTATGTAAATTTGATTAATTCATTCTGGAAACCCCCAAAAATAAAAAAATATATACTTTCTTACTATGTTTATTTATATGTAATAATAAAAATACATACATATAAACAGTCTTGCATTTTTATTAGTAACATGTTTTTTCTGTTTGTGGGACATTAAAGAATCTGTCCAATGTCGATTGTTTTTCTCTCTTCTTCAGAATATTTCAGAAGTAATTAATAGCATTGTAATTGTAGAGATCCCTAAGCCTATTAACCTCAACTTGGTTTGGATGCCATACTATGATCATTGTTCTGACATCTTCCACTTCTTCAAAATATCTTTAATAGCAGATGTCGGCATTAATCCTCTTTTTCATAAGAAAACATATCTCGCTGACTTTCTTGACGTTCTTCTGTTGTGAGATCAGTTTCAGGTTCCATTATGAGTTCTTCAATGTTTTTTATTTCTCAGATGTGATTTTTGTTATTCCTCTAGCTGCTTGTCTTCTTGATTATACTGTTTCTTAGATAAGATTGAACTGCAGCCTACTGTAGACCTGTTCAAGCCATACTGCCCAGCAATATCAGACATCTTCTGCCCACTCTCTACTTTTGCTATTATACTAACACCTTTTGAAAATAAAAACCAATGCAAAACTTAACAAGTGCCCGCCTGAGAGTCTTGCGAATACTATAAAATAATTGTTTCTGTCAGAAAAATAAAAGGCTGGAATTACAAGGGAGAGTTTCAAAGTTCAGAGGAATACTATCCAATCAGTATATACCGAGTTGAGTGTCGATGCTGACATCTCCCATGCTCTGAAAAGTTTCGAATTCTTGCCTGAAGACAAGGGAAGACCAATCAGTATTCATTATTTTACATTGCTTCTTGTCTTTGTTCTGTGAGGTGTTTATTGTCTAAACATAAAAATCTTTTGTGAAAGTGTTCATTATCTGATTAGTTCGTTAACAGATCACCCACTGTATACATAAATGATCCAGGATGAAATTAATAAAGCAGTCAAGTTGAGAAACAGGGTATACAGAGGTTTAAAGAGAAGAAAAAGAATGTAAACCCATCATTGTTTGTTTTATGGGACCAAATAGATATCCCAACTAAAATTAAGGATATTGTCCAAAAAGATCCTAACTTTGTTCTGGAGGACAAAAACTTATTGCAAATTTCAGTGGCAAATTGGAGAGAGGAATCTCAGAATTCAATGATTTAGAAAGGGATTTTTTCAGATGAAATACTGTTCTTAATTAAGGACCATGCCCACAGAACAAAAAATATTGAAACAAAACAGCTGAAGTGCACAAAGCAGTGGTTGAATGACAATGATTTGGTCCTAACACAAGCTGATAATAGTAAGCACCTAGTCATCATAAAAAGAAAAAACTACAACAAATCCTTAGAAGAATACATTAAAAGAACAGAATATGAGTGGGTCAATGAAAAAATTGTTACAGACATACACAAAAGGATTAAAAAACTTGAAAGAGCACCATTAAGCTCCATATTAACTCTCTTTAAAAGATCATGTAACCTGAAACCAGGGATGCCAAGATTATTTGCATTTGCAAAAATACATAAAGAAGGTAAAGAAGTTAGACCTGTAGTTGAGAAATGCAGAGGACCCACATACATTCTAGAAAAATGTTTACATAGATTAATTTCAGATGAATTAGATAACAATACTCTCATTGCACAAAACCCAATGAATGTAGTAAAAGAATTACAGGAATTAAGTTTACTTGAGGAAGAAGTTGGGACGATTATGGATTATGAAAACCTATACCCATCTATAAAAACAGAATCCTGTTATGAAGCATTAATGCAGTGGTTCTCAAAGCGGGTGCCGCAAGTACGCCACAAGGGTGCCCCGAAAATTTTAAATAATTAAATTAAAATTACTTAAAATAATTGAATTAAAGTATTAAATTAAATAAATAATTAAAAAAATTATAAAAAATGAATATTGGTTTTTTTCTACTAATCTTGTTACGTCGTCACTTGTCTCAGTGACTCGGTAATTGGGCAACATGTAAATACTAGAAACAAAACGAACTTGTTACTAGTTGTCTGTTCGTCTGTTCCTGCAGCGAGTAGAAGTGCAATACAAATGCGTTGAATGCAGTAAGTAGTTGTTATTATTATTGTTAAATGTTCAGACAATAACGAAAAAGCATCATATAGAAATATTCTTTCTTCTTTACAGCAAGAAAAAATAAATTATTAACTTGTACTTAAATTTTATAATAAAATATTGAAGTTAATTATGTCGTTCAATATCACGAATAACTTTTTCATTAAAAAAAAACGTGAAGATTCAGAATGATCAAGAAGTGGTTACTGGTAGCAAAGCTAAGGAATCAATTAGCTCTAGTAAATCATCAAAAATTGAGAGCTCTATTAGTGAAGATTTGACTATTTTTAACGTTGAGCAACAAACAAGCACTATTAAAACAAAAGAAACAGAAACAGTAAGTTCTCGTAAAAATGTTGCATTAAA